AGACCCCGAGACACATGGACTGCTGACTGGCCGCCTTGACGCCAATCTCAGCACCTCTGACAACTGTCTCTTCCGGCATCGCAAGCAACGACCTGCTTGCGGCGCGGAGGACCTGTGCTGCGAAATCTCTTGCCTCTTCATCCCCAGCATCCACAGGAGCTCTCATCAACACGTCTGCCATCTCGGTTGAGTTATATTTGCCAGTACGCGTTGAGCTAACAAAGACAGCCATGCCGACGGGGCAATCCTGGCTTTTAAGGAACGCAGTTGTGCCACCTGCGAAGCTGTGCTCCGCATCCAACTTGCAGTGGGACCACTTACTCAACGAAGCATTGCACCTGGGGCAATCCTGCCTGTGTGCTCCGCACACACCCTCCTTTGCCAGTGCCTCATCCGCGCGCCAGGCAGTGAGAGCGAGTGCGGTGGCCACAAGGCGACGCCACATGGCTGCTATCAAACACTGAGGCTGCGCTTTTCGTGTGGCACGCGCGTGCAAGTGCATGTGTACGTGCATGGGTGGGAAGGGGGTGTGTACGTCAGGCTCGTGGGAATGGATGCTGTTGATCGGAGGATTTGAATCCACTAGATCCGCGAAGATCCACTCGAGCTACTTGACCCACAAAATCAGAGAGATCCACTAAATCCACTGGATGCACAAGGCCCACCAGATCCGTTGAGCTACTGACTGCTACTGATGCAGTCAACGATTCCGCGCGCTCCAATTACTGGCATTTGCCCCCACACAACAGAGTCGGGTTACACCAGGAAAGCAATAATGGTTGTGGCCTTGTTTTTTGCATTTTGTGCGTTTTTTTCATTTGTTTTGCGTTTTCGGTCATGTGTGCTTTTTTTGTTGCATTTCTTCTGCGGTTTCAAAAAAAACACATGAAAGGGAAAAAAAGGCAAACGAAAAAAAGGCGCAGACGCAAAAAGACAAACGCAAAACTATGCCAAAAAACAAAAACTATGCAATTAAATGCAAAAAGTGAGATGGAAAAAAACAAGCGCAAAAACCATGAAAAGAAATGCAAAAATATGCAATCCAGAACCATAGGACGAAAGGAAACGCAAAAGCCGAGACGCAAAAAACAAAAACAAAACAAATGCCAAAGTAATTATTTTGCAACACCTGTCCTGTGGCTTTAAAAATCTCATAAGTGATCACGTTCTGCTGCAGGTGACCACACCGATGCGCATGGCAAAGCTTGACATGGGTTTGACAGAAACTGCGCAAACGGCCGCGCAGAGCCAGATGCCTGCTGCACAATAAGTTTTCCGTTTGCATTCACGAGCGCCCGGTCTTTCAAGCTGTCTGTCTCGGCACAAGCGCAGCACTTGCGCCTAGACTTCACGGATCACTCCTGTAGCCAGGTTGGATTCACCCAAACGATGGTGGATGGCATCGAAGCAGTGCCAGCGGAACCACACTAATTGGACTATATAGCTTGACCTGGCACCAGTTTGCCTTGCTAGAGCAAGTTGAGCACAAGTGCACTTATGCCTTGAACCGGCATTGTTTTCAAAGGGGGGAATGAAACATGAATGCAAGCATCGCACAGAAAAGGCGTTGTCTTGCACAACTGACTTACCCGCGACCTATCTTTCGACGACCTGGTCAGCGTAGATGTGCGCCGACCGGGCGGTAAGCGTCCTTTACTGCGCAAGCCTGGAATACTCAACTCCAAAACATCGTCAATCAGCAACAAGCAAACACCTTCTCAAAAAAACTCGAATACATGAGGTTTACAGCGCGTTGAATCGAGTCGAGCGAAGCAGCCTGCAGCCATCGCACCTAGCACCCCATCGCCCCCTAGGCACACATTAACCAGCCACAGATGACTCAATCGACATTCAATAGCGGACTGATTGCGATAGGCTTGTCAGCTTGGCATCAAGTAAACAACCAAGTTGCTTTAGCCGCTTACAAATTTCCAGGACTTTTCCTGCAAACCAGACTTGTGGCTGCTAGCTTCATTCCTTTGAGCAACAACACATTTTCATCGTGCTGGGTCGCACGCAAACAAGAAACGGGCACATTGTGGACAATTCAAGAACCAGAACAAATATCTCGAAAGATGTCTTCACAGCTCGACCAATCTTGACATCCTCCATGCCGTTGTTGAACCTGCAATCGGGTATTGCTTTTCGATCTGGGACAAAGCTGCTCTTCCAGAGACACCTCCAACTCTGGCTGGTTTATTATCTTGTCCGGAACAAGCCCAACACCTTCCCGAAGCCAAGGCGTTGCGCCAGCTCACAAGTGACTTACACTGCTCGAGTA